GTTCGTTGTTTCATGCATAAGGAATTTAACTTGAGTAAGTTGGCGTTTTAGGTTTGGTAGGAATTTAAACCTTGGAGAGGTGGTGAAGAAATCAAAGACTCGATTGTTTTGAGGAAAGACAACATCAGATATATACAAAAATTACTTTGCAAGCTTTTTTTCTCAAAATGATATTCCACTGAAAGTAGATATAACCTCTTTTGTTTGTTCACTCTTTACTTTTCAGGGGATACCTACTTCAAAAATTGAAACCTTACCGTCTGCAGTCATGACCACAAGTGTTTATGAGTTACCTTCTCCTACTTCTGCTATGCTTTCCACTAATACAACTCTTTTATTTAATCAGTTTGTTGAGGTGAGCACAAAGGTAAGTCATGATAGATACGTGCGATGATTTTACCTATCCTGGCTTAAGTTCTTATTTCACACCTTTGTCTGTAAAACAGATAATAAAAGTAGAATAAGGTGAAATAAGGGAATAGATATAAGATGTTTGGAGATGAGCATATTCGTTCAAGCGGGCCATATCCTGTGAGAAAGTTCTCCAGTAATCAGATAAAGTCGATGCCTAGCTTGCTGCACTCCAGCTATAGAGAGAATTTTTGCACTCTGCCCTTATAATTTAAGGAAATAGGCTATCTATTACATTTGCATCATTATTCAATTTATCAATTGTTATTTGCTCTGCTATAGCAAAGCACATAATTTTACGGTCTATAGATAACCCTTATTGTGAAGATGATACATGATTACAGCCTGCAACTTATTCATCAAGCACCACTCCTCAGACTACAATTCCTTCGTGGACCACAGAGATTGTTAAAACGCGACCTTCTTCCGTTGACTCCACTGAAATGACAACGATAATGGGACCTACTTATGGAACTTCAACTGCAATAACCTTCAAACCAAACGAAGAATACGATGTTATGACAGCTAATGTAACGAAGACCGCTGTTGGCGATCTCGGAGCTCAAAAAAGTTCTGCTGTTAGCTGGGTTGTGGCTATTGTTGCTATTATCGGTCAGTTTTTTTA